TGGCTTGATACCAAGAATTTGGAAGATAAACTGAATCACCTATTTTTTGGAGTAGTTCCTTGAACGGTAAACTAATCTGCTCTTCAAAAATCTGATATAATTCTGCTAGAAGACCATTTGGGCCCGGAGATTTCTTTTTTCCCCCCTGTCTCTTGATTGCCTCTACTATTCCACATATTGTAATTTGCTCATTCAACATCTTCTTATGGTCTTCTTTCAGTTTCTCGTTAGTTCTGTTTAATAGATAATTTGATATTTGCGTTTCATTCTGTTGATCTTGTTTATATAGGTTTCTATAAAAATCCTCTGCGATATTCATTATTTCTTGCATTTCACATTTTTCTTCTCCGTTACTGTTTCATAAAGATTTTATCAACCTTTTATCCACTTCCTTCCTAAGCCTATACAATAACCATCTTGTAGCTTTATTAGAATTTTCAAAAAAGTAGTGCTTTGTAAATTCTATATTTTTTGTTATTTCTTGTGTTAGTAATAAGTTCATTCTAAGTTGTACCATGCTTAGTCTTTCTTTTACTTCTTTTTCTTTTTCAGGGACAGTGTTATTTTTCAATTTATCTTCTGCCACCTTAATTTGTTTTCCTAGATTTTCATATTTCTCTCTTCTCTTTTTCCTTTTCCAGGCCTCTTGATTTATGAACCACCCTCTTATATATACTTTAAATGTTTCCCAAACTGTTTCTATAAGCATATCAGGATGCATATTCCTTTGAAAGAACTCCTGTATTTCTATTTTGGTCTTTTTTACAAATTCACGGTCTCTTAGTAACACTGTATTCATCCTCCATCGAGATTTCTTTTGCCTTTCTCTAAAAGCTAGTAAAAGAGGTTTGTGATCTGCAAATGATTTTGGTAGGATATCTGCTTCTGTTAGATCCAGTATCATATGAGATGTTATCCACGCCATATCTAGCCTGGACCAGGAATTATGTCGTGTTGAGTAGTAAGTATAGTCTTACTACACCAGTTTGGTGTAGTGGTTAAGTGTGCGGACTCTAATCTGAGAGAACCGGGTTTGATTCCCCACTCCTCCACTTGCACCTGCTGATGTGACCTTGGGTCAGTCACAAGCTCTGGCACAGCTGTCCTTGAAAAAGAGCAGTTTGTGTCAGAGCTCTCTCAGCCCCACCCACCTCACAGGGTGTCTGTTGTGGGGAGGGGAAGGGAAAGGAGTTTGTAAGCCGCTCTGAGACACCTTTGGGTAGTGAAGGGCGGGGTATAAATCCAATCTCTTCTTCTTCTTCTTCTTCTTCTTCTTCTTCTTCTTCTTCTTCTTCTTTTCTATATTTTTAGTTCTCCAGGCATCTATTAGGTTATATTCATCCGCCATATGTAAGAAGCTCTTGGGAATTATCAAGCCTAATTTTCTTTTCTTTTTTTGTGATTTTCTATCGATTTTAGGATCAAGAACTGCATTAAAATCTCCTATAACACACAGATTTTCACAATCTTTTGTTGCTAGTATTTCTTGCAATTCTTTAAGAAAAGATTTTTGTTTCTGGCTTGGGGCATATATGTTTACTATTAAGGTGTCCTTACTTTGTTTTCTTATTTTTACTGCTACAATTCTGCCATCGCTTGAGGCATGTACAAGTTCAGGATAAAAGAAATCTTTAGCATATATAGCCACTCCTCTTTTTTTCTGATTATCTGACGCTACAAAAACTTTTCCTAATTTCTTATTTCAGATCTTCTTTTTTTATATGTGTTTCCTGTAGACAAATGATGTCAGCATGCAATTTTAAAATTTGATGAAATATCTTCAGTCTTTTATAAAGGCTATTAAGACCATTCACATTGATAAAAAGAATGTTAAATTTTTTAATCTGTGCCATTTTACTTTTTACTTCCCTGTGCTTTGTTCTTGTATTGGTATCTGGTTTGTATTTGTGATGGAGTTGGTTTTGGTTTTCTTCTTAGTTTTATTGTTTCTTTTTCTCTACTTAATTTCTCCTCTTGGTCATCTGTCTCTCTTTTTTCTTCTTCTTCTGTATCATTTTCTTCCTCTCCTTCATCTTCCTCTTTTTGCCATCCTAGCTCTTCTCCATATTTATCAAGAAAATTTTTGACTTTAAATATCAAGCCTATCTTAGGTTTTTTATATCCATAGGTAAATAATCAGGTATCAGCCATCTATGCATTATGTCATTATTCCTCAAAAGATTGGTCAGAGTTCCATATCCTTGCCTTCTTTCCCTCACTCTCCATGGTACTTCTTTTAAAAACCTAATTTCTGCTCCTTGGATTGTCACTCTTTTCTCAGTTGTTGCTTTGAGTATTTTATCTCTCATGTTTGTTTTGTAGAATTTTATATGAGTTTCACGTGGCATCTTATTTTTCCTAGCATACACTGAATTCCTTCTATAGATGACTCCTATTTCGGCTGCAATTTCTTCTTGTGTTCCTATCTCTAGTTGTTGAGCTAATTCTTGTGAACGTTCCTCTTTTAAGTTTTTTTCTATGCTCTCTGGAATGTTCTGACACCTTAAAATTAAAGCTGCCTTGTCCATTTCAAAATGTATTAAAGTTTCTTCTATCTTTTCATTTTTTTCTTTTAGCTCTTGGACTTCATGTTTTAAATCCTGGACTTTCTCTTCTGTTTTTGAGCTTGCATTAGAGATTTTTAATATTTCCTGTTTGTTTTCATTTATTTGTTTTTTAATTTCTTCTGTTTCTAATTTAATGTGATCTGCTATTTCCTCCATTTTTGATTTGATAGGTTCTATTTCACTGTGGATTAATGGTAGCAATATATTTTCTATGGTGGTTTTCATAGCCTTTGCTACATTGTCTTGGATCATTGTGTTTAAATCTTTACCTGTCATCTGGGATAAATTCATTGTGCTGAGTTTGGTCTGTATTTGTGTTCCTGCCTGTCCTGGTGATGGTATTGACTGTTTCCTGCTACCACTAGTTCCTGTAGCCATGTAGTCTGTTCTCCCCTTTCCTTTTTGTGTGGTTTGTCCTTCTTTAATTTTTTTTCCTCCCTTCTCCTTCTCTTTC